GAGGAGATCCGGGCCCTGCGGGACCTAGTGCAGTTCCGCAGGGCCTGCAAGACAGAGCTCTTCCGCCAGGCCTTTGGATAGGAGCCGCCGCCACTACCATCATATACTACCTCGGCGCATCGTCCATCCACCAGACCCTATGAGGTCGATCAGTTGTTTAAGCTGGGACGCTTTTACCATCAAGATTACAAGAACAAGTCGCTGAGCATTTTGTAAATTGTATAGACTGCACAGATTTTAGCACCAATTTTACTGTATAAAAATTTGTTTTTATTGTTTTAGTATTTATGATGCTGTTAGCCGCTCTGAGCTACTGGATAGGGCAGGATAAAAATCACAAAATAAAAATAAAAATAAAATAAATAAATATATGCCCCACGCTTCTCCCAGTTTGGACCCAAAGGAGCTTACATTTTTCTTGTCCATTTTATCCTCACAACAACCCTATGAAGTAGGTTAGGCAAAGAGTGAGTAACTGGCCCAAGGTCAGACAGTAAGCTTCAACAGCAGAGTGGATCTTCAAGACTAGGTCTCCCAGATGAATCTGCCTTATACTGAATTACACCACTGGTCTATCATTGTCAGTATTGCCTACACAGACTGGCAGCAGCTCTCCAGGGTCTCAGGCAGAGGTTTTTCACATCATCTTCTACCTGGCCTTTTCAGCTGGAGATGCCAGGGATTGAACCTGGACCTTCTGCATGCCAAGCAGATGCTGTACCACTGAGTCACAGCCCCTCCCCTAGTCTGACACTCTAACTATTATATTGCATTGGCTTTTGTATGGTGGCTGTTGTTTCCTAATAGCAAGCAGTTGGGCCTCTTTGAGTCATGCAACTCTCATAGTAGCAAGTTGCCCAGTGGTTGTTGTCAGACGTTGCCTGATGAGTCCCTACCTCAAAGGCCAAAACAACCCTGAAAAGGGCCCTGCCATCCCCCTGCTTGTTACTAACAGAAGCCAAGGTGTAAAGACTGGCAATACTGTGTGGATGCCTAGCAACAGTCACTGAAGGTTTCATTTCTTAAAGCTACAGAAGTGCTGCTTCTATCCCCCAATGCATTTTTTTTTAGATTTCAGATTTTTCTGCAACCCTGAGGCTTTTCTCAGGTTTGTAGAAAGATCCGTCTTGTCTGTCCATGGCCCAGCTTTCTGGATTCAAGTATCCACCGATGAAACCACCTTGAAAATGAGATATATTGATGTTTGCAAAAATTGTTTTCTGTACCCATTGTAGGTTGAGAGTTATGGCTTGGTTATATCTAGGAGAGCTGAAACCAGACAAAGTGTATTTTTCACTGTGAATTCTTGACTGCTGTATTTTCTGCTTGCAGTGAGCTTCTTGAGTTTATTACAAGTGGCCCTGTTGTTGCTTTAGAGATCTTGGGAGATGATGCAATATTAAAATGGAAAACTTTATTAGGACCTGCAAACTCAGCTGTGGCCCGAACTGATGCTCCAGGCAGCATTAGAGCATGTTTTGGAAGTGACGGCATAAGAAATGTGGCTCATGGCCCTGACTCTTTTGCTACTGCTGCAAGGGTAAGTTTTTACATACATAACTAATATTTTCTACATTCAGGTGATTGGATTTTTGTCAGTACATACATCCTAAAACTTTGTTCTGGTCGTTTTGATTTGACTTGATTATGACATGTTTCCAGTGACATTTTTGTGATCAGAAACCTTGTTTAGACACTCCACAAACAGCAGTTGTACCTAGGTTTATAATTTCATATTCAACAAAATGAAAATTTGCTTACCTTCTCAAGCCAGTTCAAGGTGCTGATTTTTACCCGTACAGTTACATGGCTTGGGCCCAGTACATCATGGACAACATCCCTGAGTTTTCATGTCAGTAAAAAGAAATGGGGTTGTCTTGTTGATAATCTTCTCAATCCGAGGACTGAAATCTGTGTGGCCAGCCAGGTATTCTTCTTAGTGGCATATACATGTTGGACTCTGTTGCTCAAAGAGCCTCCTGTTTGCCCCAGACTTCAGGTTTTTAGGCACCAAAGCATGTGCTTCCATTTTGGGTTTGCATTGCTAACTTAAAAACCTGCCGTCTGGGGCTGAGAGAGTGTCTCTGGGTAACAGATTCCATAATCAAGGTAACAAAATATTTCAGTAGGCTAGATTACTAAAACCCTTCTATCCTTAACATTTGTTGTGTTGAGGTATGCATACATACTTTGGGTATGATTCAGCCAAAGCATAATACAATAAACCCTTTGTTATCTGCCTCTTGATTATCCAGAAAGGTCAGTTAACCAGCATGACTGAGCAGATAAGCTCCTCCTCCTCACCCACCATACTTCAAACCACTCTTGCCTCTCTAGCTGGCCAGTTTGATGGGCCCAGCCATGGCTGGGCTTCTGGTACTGCAAGCTGACATCATCCTCTGGTGTCTCCTTCCCCCTGAGCTTGCCTCAGGTTATCGTAAACCACCTCCACTAGAGGGCTTCCAGGCACCTGGTCTGTGTCTGCCTGCTCTGTAGGGTGGCTCTTTGACTTGGGGTGAAGGGAAGACTCCTGCCAGGCATTGGGTCTGTCCCCGTGGTGTTACCAGTCTGGTTGGGTTTTGGTGACTATTAATTCCTCTGTCTAGGGGCAGGGGCAGAGCAATAATATTAAGTATCTCACACATTTGATTAACTAGCAGCCTCACAACTGAGGGGATAATAAAGCTTTTCTTTCAAGACCCACTAATTTTATTGTGTTTGACTGTAATGTGTTTGATTTTGTTTGTATTTTATACAAACTGCAGTTTGCTTTTCACACACAAGAGTGAGGGAGTGCAATTCCTGAAAACTGAATCTCCTTGCTGTACCCCTCCATGTTGGTAGTCAAGACAGACTGAATTATTTATGACAACAATACAAAGCAAATTAAAGGCCATTCACATTCACACAAACTTAGTGTTCAGTTTCATTACTTTCAGCTAATACCTAGTTAAAGTTTAACTGAAATTGTGTTTCTCCGATGTGGCTAGTTCAGAAAAACCAATCTGGAAAGAAGCAATAGGTGAGGGACCAAATGGGGAAGAGTTTCGGGAAAGGAAAGAAGGAGGCCGTAGCCAGGAAAGGAGGCTGTGGAGGAATGCTGGTTAGCTGTATGGCTGGTTGAATTGGCCAGTGTGGTGTAGCAGTTAGAGTGTCAGGTTAGGATCTGGAAGACCCAGATTTGAACCCCTGTGTTTCTGTGGAAGCTTGCTGGGTAAGTTTGGGTCAGTCTTGCATTCTTAGCCAAATTTACCACACAGCATTGTTGTGAGGACAGAGTAGAAGAGAAAAGCACTAAGCTGCTTTGGGCCCTGATTGGGGAGAAAGGCAGGGTATAAATAAAGTAAATAAAAAAGGGAGAAGTTTAGAAAAGGGGGATCAGATAGAAAGTTGTGTAGGGCAGTTCAGGAAGGGAAATAGAAAAGGTGAGGTAGAAAGCATACTCTACCTGACTTGACAAGGAGGCCTAATGATTTATGTCCCTATGATGGCACAAGGCTTGGGAGCAGAACAGCTACAACAATGGAGGGCTTAGTTAGGCCTACTTATGCCTGTGGATGTAACAGGGCACAAATATGGAAAGACATGCCATTGGCTGAGTCTAGTGCACAGCAAGGAAATACAGTGACATTGGGCCAAAAGTTCAGGATCCAGCTGCCCATTAGTAGAGTTTTACTGTAATTGGTACAGCTTTAGGATCTGAGACCCCCTTGGGGCAAGGGTCAGCATATTAGCCGCTAGAGGAGAATTCAGACTTTTTAGTGTAGAATGTTATCAGGGTATCTAGGTGACATTATGAAGAAAGGAAATTTATTCAGTGGTAGGTTATTGACTTAACTTGGGTGGCAGGCACAAATTAGATCTGTTGACAGTGACCAAGAGAGGGGAAGATGGTCCTTCCTGGATTCTTGGCTGTATTACCAGATGAGTCTGCATTGTGAAATATTCTCCCTTTGTGTGAGGAACTTTGGAGTGTCATATAAAAGATCCCTGATTAATGTGTCCCTGGTGGTGTAGGCAAACAAGCTGGTACCTCTTGAAAGTGCATGAAGAAATATCAAAAGGGTGAATTAATCCATGGTCACAGCTTTGGAAATGCAGAGGATCGTAGGGTGTTAAAAAAAATTACGGGTCTGGGGGGGATGAAGAGCAATAGTCATATCTATCAAAGTTACAGTATGAATAATTAGTGTTGCAATAACTGATTAGGTAAATTCAATCTATGCTGGTTTGTTCCATATTCTTTACAATTATATTTTATATTTAAATTTTGACTCCCAGTTTATCTGTAAAGATCTCATAAAGTGATACACTGTGTGTTATATTTAATGCTCATTTTTTCAGGCCAACATATGCATTCAGATATACATGAGATAATATTTGTATAATAGAAATGTATTTTTGAAAACAAACATAGTTGAGAGAGATAGACAGGTCTCGTAAAATGTTACATAGCCTCAGCAACATTAAAAAAGAGAGAGAGAGAGATCATTTATTGGAGAATATAATTATGTGTTCTAGTGGATAATCACTTTTAATATATATTTATTTGCACTAATAAAGACATGTTTATATTTGTTACTGCCAACCTTCTCCCTCTGCATCCTGAATTATAGCTTTTTAAATTCTAGATTTCCTTTTATTCCTTATAAATAGAATAATTGGTTTCTCCTGCCCACTTAATTGCGATTCTTCTAAGTTGACTGGAAAGGTGTGAAAAAGGAAGTTAATTTGTGGTAGTATTCTTTTTTTGGTCAGAACTATGTAGGGTATTATAATTTTGGTCATGTGGCTTTGTTCTACTAAAGATGAACTAAATTTTGACCAGATTTCTGCCATGCATACTGTCTTGTATAAGTTGTCATGATTACTTTGTAATTACTTTGTAAAGGTTGTTCTCATTTCTCATCAAAGAAATACTAAGATAATCCTAGTTTTTATTCAGTTTGTGGTTCAACTACTGAAGTATTCTGTTTGACTTCCTTTTGTGGCACTTTCAGGTCTGTGTATAAGAACAGGCTAACAATATTTTTATTTATATTTTATTTTTATTTTATTTTATTTTTATTTTTATTTTGTGATTTTTATCCTGCCCTATCCAGTAGCTCAGAGCGGCTAACAGCATCATAAATACTAAAACAATAAAAACAAATTTTTATACAGTAAAATTGGTGCTAAAATCTGTGCAGTGGCATTCGATGTCAATTTGCTGTGGTGACCTGCTCAAATCCCACCTTCTCCAGGCTCAACCCCTGAAATCCCAAGGAATTCCCAAGCTGGAGTTGGCAACCCCATCCCCTTCCCAGCTAACCATCAATGTCCCATGATTTGCCCCTCTGTCTGCAGCTGACTTCTGCCCTCCCTCCTGGAGATCAGTTGTAATTCTGAGTGATCTCCACCCCTCACCTGGAGATTGGCAAGAATGGTTCCCCAGGAGAAAATGGCTGGTTGGGAGGGTGGAGTCTATGGCCTTGTAACTGACTGAAGTGCCGCCCCTCCTCAACCCTCACCAGGTTCCATCCCTCAAATCTCCAGGAATACCCAACCTGGAGTTGACAACCCCATCCCCTTTCCAGCACAGCAGCAGCCTGCCATTATCTGCCCCTCTGATTTCAGCTTTCCATTACCTCCCCCCTCCCTCCTGGGAATCAGTTGTAATTCTGAGTGATCAATACCCCTCACCTGGAGATTGGCAACAGTGGTTTCCCAGGAGGTAAAGAAGTCTTTCTCTGCAATGGGGACCAAAGCAGCTGACATCATTCTCCTCTCCCTCTTTTGACTTACACAACAACCCTGTGAGGTAGGTCAGGCTGAAAGTCTGTGACTGGTCCAAAATCACCCACTCAGCTTCTACAGCAAGAACCTGGATCTAGCATACCCTGCTCTGAAGCACTGAGTGCTACGCCTAGGGTAGCCAACCGCCAGGTGGAGCCTAAAGATCACCAGGTATCTTTAGGGTCTCCGGATCTCTCCCCCCCGTGAGAAAATAACTACTTTGGAAGGTGGGCTATATGGCATTCTGTTCAGCTGAGGCCTCTCCCCTCTCCAAACCCTGGCTTCCATAGACTCCACCAGAAAATCTCCAGGAATCTCGCTACCTGGAGCTGGCAACCCTAGGCAGGACTGGCCCCAATGAGTTTCTCACAAAAGCCTGCAAAGGGTTTCCTTCCTTTGTCTGAACCAAGCTTGGCTGCCCACTGTGGTGAAACAGGCTCCAGTTTACAACTCAGCTGTTTGCCTCCCACCCTCGTCCCGTGGGCGTATCTCACTCCTTAAATTTGCTGCCACTACTCACTGAATTGTCACTGCCTTTTTAGAGGGGCAGTGAGACCCCTCTGGCCAAATCTCCCTACTTGGAGATGGAATCCCCAATCTTTGGGGGGTCCCTGGAAAGTTGGCAACCCAAGGGTCTGGCCTTTCCTTCCTCCCCTGGGCTACCCCCTCCCTTTGGTATTGTGCAGACCGGGGGAGACTATGTGGTCAGAGCCCAACACAGATTAGTAGCCCAAATAAAAGAATTCATTTAACTATTTACACAAT